ATGGTACAGTCTTGTTAATTTAATTAATTATAACTTAATATAAATTTATTTGTTTTCTTTCAGGCTAAATGTTTTTTTATTTTTTCTCTTTAGTGGCGGCAGTTATTGCTGTTTTCAATGGGTTATTGTGGTAGTACACCTGGTATATTTCTTAATTATTTTTATATTTTCTGGTTTAAATTCTAAAATTCTTTTAATAATACCTTTTCCAATTAGAATTTTGTGATCCGAATCAAGGCTGTCAAAGTGGATATGGTTTTTGTGACCTTTCAAATGACAGTAATATTGATGATGGAATACAAGTTATCGACACTTGCCAAAATCCTTATGCCCTAGCTGGTGGTGGTCCACGCTCTGTATGAAATTTTATATTTTAAAATTTTAATTTCAAAATTTATTTATTTATTTAAATTTCTTTTTAGTGGACGAATGACTTGCTCGATAAACTAGATGAATATGGCATAAAAGCTACAATCTTTGTTAATGGTCACAACGAAAATGATTATTGTATTTACGATTTCGCAGAAATTTTGCAACGAGTTTACTCTTAAGGTCACATACTTGACAGGTGTCAGTGCTGATGAAGAAAATTATCAAATGGAATTCTTAAATGGAATTCTTAAATGATCATTTAAGAAAATTCTCGGTGTTACTCCAAAATATTTCCGGCCTCCTTAACGGTGATGTCGTTAATAATGCTAACGTAAGGATAAATTGGTAATTTGGGATGTGGATACTGAATATTCTATTGACCGAGTCACTGAATCAGAGAGTGAGGAAAATTTTTCTAATGGGATTAGTGATCAACAACCCATATTGTATTAAGTCATGATAAGATTCAAACTACATGTGATCAATTGGCACCTTTTGAGATTCTCAAGCAATTGGCTATGGGTATTGGTTTGATACGGTGGCAAGGTGTAATGGAGATTGATTGGTATAATATTGATACTGGTTATTTTGGTACGAGGACGAAACTTGGACATGTAAATATGATGATATGCATGATTCAGATAATACATCACCTCAGTAAATTAATATATTCAAATAAATAAAAAAAATTAATGGGAAGCTAGAAATATTAAATCGATTAAATTTTGCTATCTAAACCGAATTAATTGATTTCAAACTTGTTCGAACAATGTACAATTTCTAGTTAAAGAAAATAGAAAAAAAGAAAAAATAATACACTATTATTCGAACACAATGATGATTTTATTGGGAGAAATTGATGTAGAAAGAAATGTTTAAGCTAGAAAGGCTTTACAGGTGAAAGGGAAGAAATTTGAATATTAAAAGCCTAGAGGTGTTAACTTAGTTTTAAATTTATTTATTTAGAAGTATCAGTAATAAATATCAATCAATTCGTTGAAAGGTGTCACAATGCGCATGTGATAATCGCACCGAAAGAAACAAATGAACGTTACGCAATGCATTTCTTCAATAAATTTGATAATTCTATTTGTAGCATATTCTTTCTTTGCGTCAAAATGTCAATTCAAAACCATCAGAAACAAGCGACAACTCATCAGATGTCGCCCAAATATCCAACGAAGTTAACCAATTGAAATTAAAAGCATAATGTAATTATCAAAGAAATGTATAAGCCATATAATGAAGACAAATCTAAAGGCAAGCAAACCAAATCAATTATTGACGTATTAGAACAATTTCTAGTAGAAATAAAGCAAAATCCGGGTACCGTATTGGCGCGTAATAACGCGCAGATGTGCGTTATTTTGAGACCCTGCGCGTTATTTCGGGACGCGTATGCGCGGCAATTTGAATCATTTTGACAAATTTGGGTTACCCTGCTTTTATTAATGAATATGTATATTTAAGGGGTGCGTTATTTTGGGACGCGTATGTGCGTTATTTCGAGTCAAGTAAGCAGTTTTCAAAAAAAGTCGTGCTTCGAAATAACGCGCATGTGCGTTATTACGCGCCAATACGGTAATATTATCAAATATTGCATAGATAATCAATCCGATCCTATGGTTCAATTCATTCTTGCAATTTGTTATCGTTTTGGTAAATGGGTTGAAAGGATAAAAATAGAGCATTCATTATTTTCAAAAAACTGCAGAGATGGGAAATTCTAATGGTGTATTTGGTGTTGATGTTGTTATCATTACGAAATTGGAGTTGAAAAGGATGTTCATAAGGCATTCACTTATTATCAAAAATCTGCAGTGATGGGTAATGCAACTGGATTAAATAATGTTGGATATTGTTATGAATATGGAATTGGAGTTGAAAAGGATAAAAATAAGGGATTCATTTATTATCAAAAATCTGCAGAGATGGGGTACGCTACTGGGATATATAATGTTGAAGTTTGTTATGCAAATGGAGTTGGAGTTAAACATCATAAACAAAAGGCTTTTGAATGTTATTTAAAAAGTGCCGAATATGGATTTTGTTGTGGAATGCATTCTGTTGGAATGTGTTATCAATTCGGGATTAGCGTAGAAAAGAATACAAATTTAGCTTTTGAATGGTATTTAAAATCAGCAATTACTGAGCATAATTGTGACTATGGTAATAACTATTTCCGATGAGTAAAATACGAAAATTTTCGAAACATTTCTGAAGTAAGTAGAGGTGGTTTTCCCGTAGTGTATAAAACATCATATAAAAATCAATATGGAATATATGAAGAAGTTGCAATCAAGATAATAAAAGATTCGAATAAGAATAAACAGCTTTTTTTAAATGAGGTATTGTTTTTTTTACACGTAAATTTATATTCTTGTTAATGAATTAATTGTATGTAATTTGTTTATTTGAGTTAAGGGCGTATCATGAGTTTGGGAATTATTTTGGCATATCAATGGATAAATATAGCGGAGAT